TTGTGCAAGAAAGAAGACACAGGAAAATGTGAAAATCTGAATGTAGTATTTTGGTGTCCTATGTTTAGCCATTGTTTCTAGCTGTCTTTATTATTATTACACGGTGATACACTCAAAAACGTGCCTTTGTTTGTGTTCCTTCACAGAAGGAGGCTTTGTAAAGCAGCAACAATTTAGTGTGCCACAACTTCCCTTCAGAGCTGCTAAGTTGCCATTGGTACTGCTGACAGATAATTCACCAGTAATGACAAAAAGGTTTACTTGTCAGATAGCAAGATATTTCAGAAGCAGGTCTCATCCAGATGTGCCAGGTGATTACATTTTGGTGGTGGTAGGGTTTTGCCCCTTTTTAAAAAGTTGGTGTGAAGTAGAACACACTTAGAAATAAAAGGAGGCATTACAGATACCAGGAATGTGTAATGCCTCCTTTTATTTCTAAGTGTATTGGCTCAAATAAATGACATAGTCCTACATAAACAAGTCAAAATGTCATAAAAATGTTGACGAGTTTTAGAATTACAGTGGAATTAAAAATTTAATTACAAACTACTCTTCCTTAGAAAGCAAAAAAAAAATTGGCCAATAATCTGGCAGGCCCTACCAGACAAAAATAATCTAGAATAAAGGAGTTGCATAGAGATGTATGTACATTCATGTATTTATACAGATTTTTATTCTTTTTTAATTCAGCTTGGTTTTGGTGAGGCCTCTGAGAATCTTGAGTACAGGAAGTCTAACAGATGCAGACAGACCGAGAGGTGACAAGCCTGATAAAGGATGAGGAAAATGATCTATGAAGAAAGGCTAAATGAGTTAGACTAGAGAGTTTATCTAATAGCAAGAAAACTAAGGTTCAAGTGTTGAGCATTTAAAATAGATCTTTTTATCAAAGTATTATATTAAGAATATTCTTCTAAATATCAATGTTTTCTTTGTGAGAGTATTCAATCATGACTTTCTATATTGCATATGTTTACAAAGACATTGATGAATAGGTGGTTCTCCCAACAAAAGACAAAACAAAATCAACATAACTCACTATGCAAAAACCTTAGGGAATATTCAGAAGAACTTTCTTATTCTTCAGGTTATGAATTGCTAGGACAGGCTACTAAAAATCCCATCCCTGCATAATCCCCTTCACTGAGACTTCTGATGAGGTTGGTGGAACAGCCATAAAGGATGGCTGATATTTACCTTACCTGGCCTGAGGCAAGTGGTTTGACTAGGGATCAGCCGAAGTTTCCTCCAGCCCCATATTTCAACAGATGAGGAGAAAGGAAGTACTTAGCCTAAAGGGTTCCACTACTTCTTAATACTTCTTCACTTACAGCTGTATGGAAAGCCAGTTCCTTCCTGGACTTCTCTTCTTATTTGTGATAGTAGTGTTGTACTCATCTTTATAACAGATATATTATAGGTATATAATAGATAAATAGATACAGACAGAACTGTGTGCAGAAAATGAAGTGGTCTCTGTTCAGAGCCTGCACACTCAGCACAGACACAGGATAAAGGGAAAGCATAAAAACAGATGTTTTCTCCAGTTTTCATCTCTATCTTTTATTTTCCTTTGGTCTTGGAACAATAACATCCAATGTTTCCCAGCAGATTTCCCCCTATATCTGAGATTCTTTCCCACTAGCTTTTCTTATCCAGAACTTGCAAAGTCTTGCAAGTGTTTGCTTGAAGTCCAGCTAAAGTGGCTGTAATATAGGGGAGAGGGTTCCTATGTACATGACCTATCTTTGTCTAAAATCTGTACATAATCCATCTTGATAAAATAGTTGATCAAAATTTGAAGACATAGGATAGTGTGTCCTAAATGCTTTCAAAATAACCTTAGAAAAACAGCATGGCTCCAAAATCCCTGTGAAGATATGCTATCATCTCTTTATTCTTATCTTGCACTGTGCTTAAGAAAGTCTGAAATGGACGAAAAATTGCTGCAATTATTAGTACCTATAAAATTGTTTTTTAAAAGTAATACATTGCAAACTGTTAGGTTCTATTCATAGTTTCAATCTTTTATCAATATGGGAACAGGTTATGCAATTTTGAACTTTTATGTTAAAACTGGTCAGAGTTAAAAGCATTTTTGGAAACATTTTTCTTCTACTGCTCATTCTTTGGCATAAACAAATAGCAGTACCCAGTATTTTTTACCAGAGTAGGCACAGCATCATCACCAGTAAATGTTTTCCTCTGTAAGTTGACAACAGTCTTGCTGGTTGTGGATATATCACTGCAGTTTACAGTTGCCACCAAGTATTTGTGGATCACTGTTCATAACTGTATAAATCTTATTGTTATTTGAGAAAAGGCCTATCTCAGAATGTCTCTACAACAGTCAACTTAGTATTTTGAGTGGCAACTTTATTTCAAAGTTGTTCTTTTCTTTTCATTGTTTTTTGTTTGTATTGCTGTGGAATTTTTTAATGCAGCAAGTCATCTGATTTCATGAAATAAACATTTTCTACTGGAGGTACTGGATACCAACTTACAACCTTTATCTAAACTATATCGCTCCAAAGATGTGAGGCTGCTTGCAAAAACCTGACTGGAACCAATAAGCAGAGAAAAATTTGTACATACACAGCAGTAAAAGAATAAAAAGTAAAATAAATATTAATGTGGAAGGTAAATATGCACTACAATTGTTTTTCCTTGAAATAATAGCATGAGGTCAACATGCTGTCAACAGGTGTGATTTTACAATTGCAAAGAAAGTAAAGAAGAAATTATATAGATATGTGAAATGAACTCCTTAGGAAAAGCTGAATGCACACTCTACTAAGAAAAGCTGAATGCAGAGCGTCTCTCTGTTTTTGCATTAAAACATTAATGCAAAATTATTAGTATGAACCAGCTCAAGTTACACAAAGTTATTTACGCATGTGCTTATGTTATATTCCCATGGGTGGTCCAGCTTCCATCTGTGAAACTATTCATGCTAATAGAGTTCAGCATGTGTACTCACAGGAAGAGACTCTGAGGTCTGATAAATAAATCCTATTATGTAATATCTGATAAAGTTGTTTTTTACACCAGTATCAAATTTAGAGACAAGGAACACATTACTGGGCCAGATCTGAGTTCACTGTCCTGTCACAACTGACTAGTGCTAGATACTTCAGGGGAATTTATGTGTACACCATAATGGGAGATATGGGAAAATTTTTGCTTACAGTAGCCCTGTATCTCATTAAATCCTTGACTCCAAAGCCTTTCCACTTCAGCAAATTCCATAATCCACAGTGGGTTGTTTTTTCTATTTTTTCCCCAAAAAAGAAATATATAATGGAAAACAGAAACTTCCTTTTAGCCATTCTAAATTTTCCACCTTCTCATCTGTAGGAGGACATCCTCATACTTTTCTGTTATCAGACTGTGTAGTCATTCTAAACTTAACGCAGCTGTTCCAGTTGCCCTGACACACTTATCAGGACACATTAGTTTGCCCACTTTCTCAACTTTTTTTTAATCATTCTTCATGCAAGCACCTTCTTTTCTATTCTTCATTCTTTTCTTCATTCTTTCTAAACTTGCAACATTCATTCTGAAATGGAATTTTTAGTGTTATACGTGGTTTCAAAAATAAGCTACAGAAGTTAGAATCCCAGAATTTTAAGGGGTTGGAATAGACCTTAAAGATTATCTAGTCCCAACCCCCCCGCCATGTCCAAGGACACCTCCCGCTAGACCAGATTGGTAAAGGCTTTATCCAGCCTGGCCTTGAATACTGCCAGGGTTGGGACAACCTGTTTCAGTATCTCATCACCTTCATAGTAAAAAATTTCTTCATAATTATCTAACTCAAATTTCCCCTCTTTCATGTGTTACCATTCCCCCTTGTCCTATCACTACAGGTCCTGATGGAAAGTCCCTCTCTGGCTTCCCTGTAGGCCCCCTTCAAATACTGGAAGGTTGCTTTGAGATCTTCAAATAACCTTTTCTTCTCCAATATTAATGTACAATGAAGCAATTTTTTTATCATTTCTGGCTTGTTAAATTTGTCTGGGCTTTAAACTGAACTGTGTAGTGATTGTTCAGGTCCAGTTTCTTTGCAAGTATCATTGAACTAACTGAACTGTGTTTTTGCAAGGCACGTTACTTATATTTGTTAACATCAAGCTTCGTTTGAAACGTGCTCATCTGTCCCTGAAGCAAGACGTAGGAAACCGTCAGGACTCGTGCAAACTTAACCAAAAAATTTAGAGTTCGGTTTAAAAGCAGCGTCGAAGTAACAGTCTAGGTTTAGATTTTGCTTCGTTTAGATTTCGGTTCTCGTTTCGCTGTGTGAGCGGCCGCCGCAGCCCGGCACAGCAGCTGCGGGGGTGGCACTGCGGCCCCGGGGCACCGCGGCACCCGCCGGCGCGGCCCAGGGGATGGCCACGGCAATGCCGCTCGTCCCTGTCTTCATCTATGCCAGCAACTTTCCACATCTCCTTCGTTTTGCCGGTTTTAGGTTTTCTTCTCCTCTTGTGAAATGTCAGGGGCCTCGTCAGGAGCCTCCAGGGTTCTGAGCTGCTGCTGCTGCTGTGAAGGGTTGGAGGGGTCGGACCAGCGCCGCCGCGACCCGCTCCCGCCGCGCTCCCGGCGAGGCAGCCGCGGGGACGCACCCCGGCTGGCAGCCCTCGCAGCACCCCGGCTGGCAGCCCTCGCAGCACCCCGGCTGGCAGCCCTCGCAGCCCCCCGGCTGGCGGCCCTCGCAGCCCCCCGGCTGGCGGCCCTCGCAGCCCCCCGGCTGCCGCCCGCTCCGTCCCCCTTTCCCCCCGGGAAGGTTTCCCCCCTCAGGCCGGAGCCCCGCACAGCACCCGCGTTACGCGCGCTCCTGCCGCTCCCGCGCATGCGCCGGGACCGCCGTGACCGGGCGGGGTGGGGAAGCGCACACGCGCGCGCCGCAGCGGCGCCCGTGTGAGGGAGCGGGGGGGCGTGCGCGCATGCGCTGTGGGGCGGGGGCCGGTCGCGGCGCGTGCGCAGTGTGGCGGCCCGGGCAGGGGTCCGGCGGAGGGAGCGCGGGGCGGGCGGAGCGGCGGGAGCGAGGGGAGCCCCTCCGGGCACGGACACCGCCGGCATGAGGCTGGTGAGGAAGGACCTGGAGAAGGACAATGCGGGGCAGGTGACGCTGATCCCCGAGGAGCCCGAGGACATGTGGCACACGTACAACTTGCTGCAGGTCGGGGACAGCCTGCGCGCCTCCACCATCCGCAAGGTGCAGACCGAGTCGGCCACGGGCAGCGTGGGCAGCAACCGCGTCCGCACCACGCTCACCCTCTGCGTGGAGGCCATTGATTTCGACTCGCAGTCCTGCCAGCTGCGCGTCAAGGGCACCAACATCCAGGAGAACGAGTACGTCAAGATGGGCGCCTACCACACCATCGAACTGGAGCCCAACCGGCAGTTCACGCTGGCCAAGAAGCAGTGGGACAGCGTGGTGCTGGAGCGCATCGAGCAGGCCTGCGACCCGGCCTGGAGCGCCGACGTGGCCGCCGTGGTCATGCAGGAGGGGCTGGCCCACGTCTGCCTGGTCACCCCCAGCATGACGCTCACCCGCGCCAAGGTGGAGGTGAACATCCCCCGCAAGAGGAAAGGGAACTGCAGCCAGCACGACCGCGCCCTGGAGAGGTTCTACGAGCAGGTGGTGCAGGCCATCCAGCGGCATATCAACTTCGAGGTGGTGAAGTGCGTGCTGGTGGCAAGCCCGGGCTTCGTGCGGGAGCAGTTCTGTGACTACATGTTCCAACAGGCAGTCAAGACTGACAATAAACTTCTTCTGGAGAACAGGTCCAAGTTCCTACAGGTAAGGTGCTAAGCAGTCTTCAGAGCGGGTGAAAAGTGGCTTGAGAGTTTTCTGTGTGATAATAAAAGGTAGTCACATGGGAAATAAGTCACTTACTAGACAGTTTTCTTACTGAGCATCATAAGGAAATTATTCTTATGCCTCTCAAACTGTAAGGTAGTTATGCATGATACAGGGATGGTTCCCTCCTAGGATACCTTAATGTGGAGTAGGGAAAGTATTAAATGTATCAAACTCCTTATAAAGGCATATGAATATAAATAGTGTGAAGTGTGAATTGGAAAATACTTTACTATTACTCTGTCATGCTGTGTAGCGTGCACATTTAATAACAGCTTTCTAGAGACGTTTTTTTAAAAAGTACCTGGATGTGGTATAGGTTAGTTAATTTTGTTGTTAGTCTTGAAGATTATGCAGATCATGGCATTTTTTCTCATTTCTTCGTCGTCTCACTCAGTGGGTGGGGGTTTTAACCTTTTACTGCAGTGGGCAAATTTAGACCTTAAAATGAGTTTTTATAAGGGTACCTATATAATTTTTAAGTTGGAGTAGGCCTGTTATCTGTGCTTGCAAAAGGCTGGAGGCAGGGTGAGTGAAGTTTGTTCCAATACTTAATGTTCCCAGCGTTAGAAGACCCAGTGCACCAAGAAGCCTTTTGCGCTTGTAGTATAAAGGTAATAGTATGTGTGAGAAGTTTCAGTGTACTTCACAACTTTGCAAGCATAATAACTGTGCAAGACTCGATACCTTTGCACTAAATCTCTGCAGTCTTAAGAGACCTTTTCTGGAATGCTTTAAAACAGAGAGGCTCAGGTCTTAAGTTTCTTAGTAGTCTCAAGCAGCCCTCCCTTGAGGTGGGCATATTTAATCCAGTCTTTGAATAAGTGAAATCGTTTTCTTTTGGTCTTTTTGAAGTGCATTTTAAGGAATTTGGTGTGGTTGCAGGAGACATCCTTTAAGAAAAGAATCTTGTATGTTTCAAGAAGGAGGTTACTTCCTCAAATAACTGTCAAGGTTATTGTTATTTATAGTGGAAGATATTTGTGATTAGCTAATCTAGAAAATGATCCTTTCTCTTTGAAAACACCAAACCTCTGACTTTGTTTTCACTCTAGGTCCACTCTTCCTCAGGACATAAATACGCTTTGAAGGAAGCACTCTGCGACCCAACCGTAACCAGCCGCCTTTCTGACACTAAGGCAGCTGGTGAGGTCAAAGCCTTAGATGACTTCTATAAAATGCTGCAGCATGAGCCTGACCGGGCTTTTTATGGCCTGAAACATGTGGAAAAGGCAAATGAAGCCATGGCCATTGATACCCTGCTGATCAGTGATGAGCTTTTTCGGCACCAGGATGTGGCTACCCGTGCCCGATACGTTAAGTTGGTAGACAGCGTGCGGGAGAACATGGGCACAGTGCGCATTTTCTCCAGCCTTCACGTGTCTGGAGAGCAGCTGGGCCAGCTGACAGGGGTGGCAGCCATCCTGCGCTTTCCTGTGGCTGAGCTCTCTGACCAGGAAGATGAGTCTAGCTCTGAAGAGGATTGATGACAGTGACTTCATTCCACAGTTTCTTTTCCATGTCATGCTGAAATGACATTGAAGGCACTTCCTTCCTAAATACTGTGTGCAGATGTTCCATGACATGTAATTATAAGTTAGAATACACAAAAAGTATGTAGCTCTGCTGAGCACACTTCTTGATACTGTTCTATAATAAGTTTTGGTATACTGTGTTGACTGGTTTTTGCAAGTTACATCGCAAACCTCCAGCAGTATAAGAAACTAATTTGGCTCCCCAAAGCTGCTTAGTCTATATATTAAGGTAGACTGGTAGCCTGGTGGAGTGTGTATGAAAAAAATAATAAACTAAGAGGGAGAGATTCATGTCAGACTATTTCTGTTCAAGTGCGTGAAAAGACTATTGAAAAACAAATGTAAACTTCTTCATGCAAGACCTATCAAAACTGTGCTTGATCTTCGTAGGAAGTTGCTGTTCTTCCTAGGATGTGTCAAAGGAATGGGGTCAGCATCTTTTCTTAGGGCATTATGAGTCTAACCACTTAAATATTTCTGTGAAACACTTGAAGCAGTCTTTCAGAAATCAGACCCTTTAAGGTCTTCCCTAACGTGATACTAGGTGCAAGACAAATAATGACTCTCAGTCACCCATTTTAGTTACCTTTTTGAATCCTGTTACCTTGTGAGATTGTGCTAAAGGCTAACAAGGTGTCATTGACTGTATTCTGCTAAATTGGCATTATTTAGCACCCCGTTCTGAGAAAGTGTATAAGTTCTGAGAAAGCACCCCATATGAGAAAGCCTTATAAAATCGGGACCGTGGTTTTCATGAGGAATCTTTTGACAACAAACACTTTAGTTAATGTCATAATCTGGTATATTTCTATTTAGATACCTCTTTAAAAACATACATAAGATGTGATGCAGAAATTAAGATTATGAAATTATAAATCAGACTTCATCCTAAGGTAATGGTGACTGTAAATGTCAAAATTACCTCTTCAGTTATTAGATCTGGTCAAAGTATGGAGAGCCACAGAGAGTTTTGTTTCTTCACTAGGCAATAAATCTTAGGCTGAGGAAGTCGAAATTTCTGTCAGATTCAGACATAACCTGTGAGGAAATTGTTTCAAACCAATGTTTGATGATGTGTCTTCCATATATAAATAAGCATTCCTTTTTTAAATGTGGTGGAAGGTGGAAAACGGGAACCATGGAAGACTTCTGAAACATGGAAAGGGACATAACAGTGGAACTCTAAAAAATAAACCCACTGAAACTCTTAGTCTGGGTATAATAGTTTTAGGAAAGCATTTTTAAGGGTAGTCCCATATGCAGTTGGTACTATCTATTGTTAGCTGAAAACTCAGCCTAAACTTCTTGATAGAGAAGTACTTTTGAGTTAAAAGCCATCTTCCCTTTTCCCACCATCCACACAGTCTTAAAGAATTCATGATCAGAACTTATATTAGAGGTATAACCGTGTGATTCTTCTTTCTCCAAAGACAAGCAAGCCCACTGAGACAATTGCTTACAGTCTGCTTGCACACAAAAATTTTGTTATTTGAGCTTTACATTTTTGTCTTTAATGGTGTTGGGTGCTACAAGTCATAGAACACTCAGGTAGATTTCCTTCAGCAGTTAAGACTGGTTAAATTAACTTCTTTTTTCTTTTAAAAATTTGTCTACACTGGTTATACACTTTACCATCTAGAAAGCACCCTGATGCCTGCTGCATAGAGTTAAATGTAAAGAGCATCTGAAGGAGAAGAAACTGATCTTCAATAAATATTACTTACGTGCAGCAGATTATGGGCCTAAATAAACTCATAATGTCTAAACAAAATCATTAATTTCTTTATAAACTGGTATGAAATAAGCTGGTATGTTAGTATTTCTCTTTTTTTCAGTAGTGCCAATTTGTTGCAATTAGAAACAAATGGACTTACATTCGAATTTGTAGTACACCACAAATTCACAGTTTATTTCTAAACAGAGAGGCAAATCAAACTGTTCTTTGGTTGTGGAATGGATTGCTGTTTTACCAGACCAAATTGGTTCCACTTATTCCATTTTAAGCCAGAAATTATGAAGAGTTTTTGCTGTGTACTGCAAGATCACAATGTCAGTTTTGTGTTTAGTGCCTATAGTGTATCATCCAGGAAAACAAGCAGCCATTTTGTTGCATATTTATTTTAAGGTAGAAGAGCAAACATCTGGTAAGAAAACATGAAAATAGTGATTCTTTGAATCATTTACACTTAGAATTAAAATTCTGTCCTGACTTTACATTTTGTGTATTTTTGGGTTTTTAGCTATTCCTATCATGTCACTAAGTCTCTGAAAGAAATGCACATGGAGTTGCCCCAAGTATGGAAGGGTGGGATTTTTCTTTTTTTTTGGTAGCCATTTTTGTAGTAAAATAAATATACAATCACTATGTATACAAATGCATCCTGTTTCAGGAAACAGCTTAAGGGCTTGGTACTGAAAGTAGGCTGTGTTCAGTAGTTGCAGATGCTTGACCTGGCCAAGTTCCCGGGTTGCTAGTATCTTTCACATTTCAAGGAATTTGGATTAGTTGAAAAGTCCATATTGACAAACTTTCTTAATGCAACCTTAGTGTGTGTGCATAGATGACACTTGTACAGAAGATGCAGAAAGTGCTAGAGCCATGGAAAAATATTTTTTTTTGTTAAAAAGTAACATGAAATCAGATTGATCCTGAACCCCGCTGTGCTCTATAGTGATTCAAATAAATTTATTAGGCCATAATGCCTCTCTTGCAAACTCGTACTTTGGAGCAGACCCCAGTTTGTCTTGTCATCTTTGAATCCGTTTATAATTATATAATTTTTTCTGGTTGTTTACCAACTAAAGTTTGGTGAAAAATGTGAGGTCACCATCAGCTACAGACCAAAATAATCCTACTAGTTAAGAAGCAAAATAAAAGATTAATCTTTCAGTACAATTGCAAGACATTTAACAGTATTTGATCTAGGGAATTCCTCGTCTCCCTCATCTTGCCTTCACCCATGTATAAGTAAAACGCTAGTAGTAAATGATCTTTGGACCACTCTCTGACCACCACTGTGACAAGAACCCATACCTCTTCAGCTTAATTTGTGCTGGGACTAGGCTTGATGGTTTTAAAGCCATGTAAGTAAATGTCTGAGGTAATTTTCATTAGCTACTGTTCTCTCATAGGTTAAGTAGCCCTGAATTTTAAAACTAACCTACCATTTCAAAATCTCGGTCTAACTTCTGGGCTGCTAACCTTAGTTTGCCTATTTCTGTGGAGGTATAATATACCTGACTTTTCATTTGACTGATTTATGTCTTGAGCCTCTCCAGTTTTTTTTCCTGTATGCCGCATTATCCATCCAGAAAAGTGTACCTCTATGCATGTGATTTCTTGTAGATCACCCATTGCATTCGATTTTTTTTGAGATTTTCATAGCTTTATTTTTAAAGAAAACAAGCGTGTTTCATACAGGAGTACTTACCTAGTTTTGCAGGAAAGAAAAAAAATCCACATATTCTCAGAATGTTTTTTTATCTGAAGGCACATTTCTACAGTGTGTGGTCTAGTGCTTCTACAAAAGATCTAAGAAAAAACCATTTTTAAAATGTGGAACAGCAATTAGAAAGTCTGCAATTAGGAGTTCTTGTTTATAACGTAACATGAGAATTCCTGCAAGACACATAATAACAAAAATATGGAGGAATGGCTTCAAAAAACTACTTATCTATGTACTTTTTAGATACAGCAAAACTTCAGATTTGATTTTTTTTCCTTGCTCTCTGATATAGTAATTGCTTTTATCAGTTCCCCACCCCACTTTTTATTTTTAAAGATAAAATATTTCTTTTAGAATGAAGTTCTTAAAAGAGCTAGGTACATCTGAGCTTTAGGTGGATTAAAAAAAAAAGTTTCTTTGAGCTCTGCTAATGCAGGGAATGATACAGGTCTGGCAATCATTCCCTTCTAAGTTCGTGTTCAATATACACCTGCAGTGTGAATGATAAAAGTTTTGATTCTTTAAGAACCTTGGATTTCCCAGTTCTGATTTGATTTAGCAGATAGTAGGCAGAGAATGGTTGACAGGGCTTTATTAGATTATTTTTCAGTATCTCTGTTTCTTTTGTAAGAGCAACAACTTGCTTTTAGACACTTTTAATTAGATTTTGTATGGAAAAATAGTATTTTGAAAGCTCATTGTTCTGCTAATTTAGGGTTAAGAAAATGCCTAACTAGTTTGGTCTTGTGATTATTACTGTGATTCTTAATTCAGGCTCTGACGTGTGTTGAGCCTGAGCTTTTTCAGTAGTAGAAAGAGTAAACATAGGCTGTGGAGCTTCTTGTGTGACAGTTGCCCAAAGACTTGCTGAATAAGGGTAATGTTTAGTCCTGCCACATTTTTTATGCTTGAGTCAAGTAGGGCATTGACTTGGATTTGAGGATAACTGCTTGCATGATAGAGAATATAAAGGAAAGAAACATCTTCAGTCTAACAACCAAACTGCATATCCTCTGTTAACTTCTGAACTTGACTGTTTCAGAAATCCAGTATAGCTTTTCTGTGAAAAAACTGTCTCCTAAGGTGCCTTAGCCTAAAATAAAGCATGAGGAAAAGGTCGCTGAAATCATACTTGTTTACTCTGTTGTCTGAAAATAATTCTTCCTTTTGTCCCACTTAAGGGCTGTGCAAGAAACAGAGTGGGGACTGGTATCAGAGCAGCCCTTTCTTCCAAGTCAGTGTCTTCTGGGAAATGCAACATGAAGCAGCAACTTTCAAGCCCTGCCAGCTCTTGTCAGCTTTTGCTGATCAATCTCTAATTTACTGCCCTCTTTTCACAGCTAATGTAATTGCTGTCATGCTGCTCTAATAATTACTTAAAAGTCAAATTAGAGCTGATCATGAATCCTCTGGTGAAATAGCTGTTCCATTAGAGAATGTTAATAAGTTGAAACCAGCCCTCCTTTTTAGGAATGTACATACCAGACTTGATGGGAAGTGTTGTCTCTGGTCCAAAAGGGAATTTCTAGTCAAAGCCAAGCCTGGAATAGCGAAAAAAGGGCCTAAGGGCTCTAAGGAGTCATATGGAACAGAAGATAACACAACTTAAGACTGTTTTCTGTTCCATAATTAACACTAGGCTAAAGGTGCTCCCTTTTCTGTCATTGTTAAGTACAACTCCACACTATCTAAGCAAAAAAAATACATTTTGTATGAGATAGCTAAGTCACATCTGGCTCAGGTATGACACCTCTTGGGATGAGGGAGGCACTTTTCAGAGTTCTGGAACTTGACAGGAAATCTGAACTTGATCCTGAACTTTAGATCCTTGACAGGATCTGAACTTGACAGGAAAATAATTGAAAGCTGGGCAGACTTTTACTGAGAGGGCTTGTATACAAAGATATGTGTGTGTGTGTGTGTGTGTGTGTGTGTGTGTGTGTGTGTGTGTGTGTATGTATTAAGAAAAAAGCTAACTTGACTCTTAGCTTGTAGTTGCTTTGGTAAATGAAGGAATGTCTTGGGATACAGAGTTGGCAACTATCTTCAGGACTCAAAGATTTGTTTACAGTAGGAGGAACTTGGTAACAAGTGATAAATTCAGGATTTCTGGCAGTTGTTCCATGCTCATGGACATTGCCTTCAATGGTTTCTGATGCTCTGAAAGCTACAGCAGGTTTTGCTGAAGAAAATTGCCTTTTCTTTGGCCTGCAGCGTTCAGCCTGGTGGCTTCAAGTGTTTTAGATAGTTTAGTTTAGGTGTGAGAGAAGTTAATTAGTTGCATTTGTTGATCTTGCCCAAATAGTTGTCATAAGACCATTTCCATTCCCATTTGCTAAAGAAAACTAGTATATCCCATATAATTTTTCATCTCCTGAGTGGAAATTGCTGTTCTGAGATAGGGTGTCTAAGAGAAACTGAAATGGACTCTGCAGAAACCCTGCTGGGTGAACATCAGCTTTCTGCCAGGACAGTGAAGTCTCCTGGGGCAGTGGCTGCCCTTGCTGCAAGGCTGTATGTAGGAGCTACTGGGACAGCAGTGGTGAGAGCTAGAAAAAGAGCAGATGTATCATGAGGGAACTTATCCAAGTTCCAGAGCTGTGAGAGAAGATGAAAAGCTATGGTTTAATGGAAAACATGAGGTGCTGATTTGGGTATGTGACTCCTTCCCGAGGGAAAGATGCAGTGAATGTTTGAAGTATCTGTACTCAGTTCTAACAACTCATGCTCAGTTGAGGGTAAGATGCCAGCTGATGTGATTAAGCTCTTTGTGTGTGTCTGAGGGAGAGGAGCCTTGAGCCTGAGGCGAGACTTGAAATTGAGATATTGAGACCTTGGTAATCCTGCCACTATGGAGTGACTAATTTCTGACAAGCCTGCTACACCAGTGTCAAATGTGGAGTCATTGCTGTATCTGAGGCTTGCGAAGGACTGGTTTTGTTTTCCTTTCATACCTGTCTGCAAACCACGTTCTTTTTCAAAATAATTGCTTTGTGAAACAAATACCTCACTGTGTCATGTTGGCAATATGTGTGAAAAGCCAAGGAAAAATTCCTAGTGAGGTATTAAAAAAAAAAAAAAAAAAAACCAACCAACAAAACCAGCAGAAGATAATGAAATAAACTTTTCAGAGGTTTTGGGGGGTGCCTTGCGAGAAGAAGAAGAGAAAGACAGATAAAACTATATATAACAAAGTTTGTTGATGGTTTTTAACATCTTTTCAAGTAATTTCAACTAAAGGACAGTTTTTAAAGATAAGCAGACTGGTGAGTCAATCAAATGACAAGTTCTTAAACTTTTCTTTGGAACATTCCAGAAATCAGTTATTAAAACTCTTATTAATACAGTCAAGCATTGTGATCTTGGTAAACAACTGAGTTGTGATTGCATAAGTTGTTGCAAGCTGTCTGCATATGTTTTATGCAAGTTTGCATGGTTCTGTGTATTTTTCTTATGAGACAAAGCGTTTTGTTAGAAGAACAAAGTTAAGTGTTAAGAAAGAACAAAATTAATGTTGGCCACTAATGCTGACAACTGTGAGTCTAAATTTTCCTAATTCTGAAGACAATTTCTAATTGGTTTTTTTTTGGGGGGTGGAGGGGGGAAGAGTGTGGAAATTGTCACTGAAAAATGCTTAATGCCTTAGGCCTTAGCATTTTGAAAATGAGCTTTTCACTTCTAGAACATTTTTTAAACTACTTTGTTCTTCCCTAGTTTAAGCACTTTTTTTTTGACATAAGAACTGGCAAGAAATAATGTATGTTAGAGAGCAGAAAGTTCCTACTACTGGAAAAATGAGAAATTGGAACAGCCTTGCAGTCAGAAAAAGCAGAGCAAAAGGTCACTTTTATATGGAATTTTTTTTACCCTGAAAATATTATGTAGTTGCCAGCAACAGATAGGAATCAATTCTAAAAGCAGTCCTGCACCCCATGCTTGGAACAGAAGCAGAGCACTTGCTGTTTTTTTTCTACTAGAGCATTGCCTTGCCCTCTTTGTATCTGTCCAATTCTTAGCATGTTTGTTCGCACCTCATCTCAACAAACACACCAGATTACACCACAACACTGACCTGCTGTCAGACAGGGATTAGCTAATGATGCATCTGAGCTAATGATGCAAAAATGTTTAGATTGGTACCTGATAAGGTTTTAATGAGTACTTTCAGTCTCTGCCAGTTAGGTGTCCTCCAGGAGCTTTAAAGGTTATTAAAAAATAATTTTCAGTGTTTTATTTGTAAACATGAGGTGTCAGACAAGATATTTATCACTAAATGTGTTTCCTTTAGAAAGAATGTTTTCTCTAATCATTCTGAAATCAGTTGCTGTGAGTTGCTCCTCTGTGTCCGTCAGCACAGCTTGGAAAAATTTGTTTCATACGAAGTCTGCTGTGGTACCCAAAGAGCTATAGACCAAAGAAGAATAAAAAGAGCTCAGCATTAGTACTGCTGTGCTGCCTCATAGCTGGGCAGGAAGGAAAAGCTGGAAGTGATCTGCCGGTCTCTGCTGCTGAAACTATAGCTGAGGTGCTACTTGTGTTAGCTGATGTTAAATGGGTGATAAGGTAGCACTTATTTGCAAGAGGGGTGTTGTGAGACATAAGGTGATGGCATGCGGGTGATTTGCGCCTTTTAGAAAGTCCTTTTCTTCACAAGAAACTGTTGACTTGAGAAGACTGAGTAACTTTTAACCCCAAAACTTCAAAGTGGTATCTACACAAGAAAATAAAATTTTATGACTATTAAACTTCTATGGTACTTCTGTGTAGGTGATGCAGATGTTTGAAAGAAAGAGTAATGGATTCTTTATGGAAGTCCAGATACCACGAGGGTGCTTTCAGAACAGGCCTGGTCCGGACAAATATCTTTAAAGTCATAGGTGTACTTCAGTGCTGTGGGTGGGAAATGTAAGTTATTAGTGCCAGTAATTCATGTAGAAAACTCTATCTTAAACTTCATCTAAAAAACAGGATGTTTTCCTACCTCTAGGATCCACCTTTAATTTTTTGGAGTGGAAACAAACCTTCCTTTTTTAATCTCTTCATGGCTAGTTCCAAATTTCCCTGAATTGTTTTTGACCGATAAAATATTTGATGTAAAAAGACCTAGGATTAATTTTGCAGTGCTTTCAACTGGTTTGTCTGGTTTCCCTACAGCAACACTATAGCAAAAGAGGTGTTTATGCTCTTACTAGTACTTGAGTGCCACAGTCTTTAAATAGATATGGCTGGTGATGCATATTATGCTAAAGTTTCCAGTATGTGTTTAATCAGTATTAGTAATTCATGGTGATATACTAGATTTGGGAGAATTTATTAACTTTTTAATTGAAAAAGGTATCTTGACTATAAAAATATGCCACCTAAAAGAAGAATATTAAATATCCGTAAACCTTTACTGCAATTTAAAAAGTTACTTTATTTCATACCTTCAGTGTGAAATCACAGTGATCTTGATCATGTAATAGAAGGGTTAACTTTGTTCATAAAATCTTATGTGTATGAGGGAGTCAGAAACTTTTTATTGTAATTAAACAAGAGGAGTTTCACAGACAGCTTGCTAATCAAGCGTCAATAAACAACTGATAAGAACTGCACCTTTCATCTCTAACAAATACCAGACGACCACTTAACAGCCACGAACTCAAGCCACAAACAAATTTACATCCAAAAACCCGGGACTTGAGAATATATAAAAGGAGCATTTACTACATTTCAGGGTGTGCCTCGGCAGGGCGCTTGCCTTCCAGGCCACCCAGCGCTGCTGTTTTGCTTTATTATCGCTTGCTTAATAAATTTATCAATGTTTAATTGGAATTGAGTTGTCTAAATTCTTATACTAACTTATAACAATCATATGCTCCTCCAAACATGTCACACGTGATTCTTTCAGGGAATAAGTTTCTAGCATACAGTTAGAGGTCCATCTTTTATGCTTATTTCAGCTGATTGATACCAGTGGAAGTTGACATTTTGGTTTAGTCATTTTTCTGATGAACTCAAGTGAACACGGTATGCCATTTCCTGACTTACTGCTCCATGAACCCATTTACAGAAAGTGTGGTTTTATCTGTTGCCTGTAAATTATGCTCACCTCACAGATAGACTGGAGATTAGCTACTATTAAATAAAATGTCAAGCTTATGAAAGTCCTTTTGATTGTCTGAGACTGTTGCAGTTTGGTCAAGGCTTGTCTGGAGCATAGGCCTGAAAAGGCCCCTGCCAGAAACAAGTCAGGGCTTGTCAGAGCTAAGTTGGGACTGCTTAGACATTAAGGCTGTGCTGACCAAAAAGAAATAATAAGTCAAGCAGAACCGAGACAAGAAAAATTTGCAAGTAGAGATAGGATGTAATCTGGTGGTGGGATTTAATTACACGATGTTTACAGTTAGGTAAATGGATTAACAGTCAGGTAAATGGATTAATATTTGAATGTAATCAAAGTGATATGTAAGTTTATGTTTAACTGCTATGTCTCCTGTGAAATGTAAAACCAATCATGTAACCTTGCTTGGAAAATAGTATAAAAGATGCGTTCAAAATGTGGGTCTTTGGGTACCTGTCTTGGGACAGGAGTCCACAGGGACCCCGGGCCCTGAATAAAGCACCGCATAAACTGACACTCTGTTAGTTTGTGTTCTCATTACGGGCAACAAGACCATAAGAGGAGTAAATCTGCTTAAGTAATAAATACATTTAGCAGCAGTCTCATGAATTGCCTAGTGCAATGCTAGTTGTTCTTTTGTCCAAATGAACAAACTTTTTTATTGCTGATCTTCAGTTTTTCTTAGGTTGCAGTGTCTTTCATGATGTGTATGTGGTGCTTTTTGTAGCTTTTACTTAACTTTTATGGTGAAGTTCATGGAAGACCATTATTACCCATGCTGGCACATGCTTGAAATAGGCTCAGGATTTTACTGTGAGCAGGTCAGACCTGATCTGTGCAAACAGGTAGTGCTTGCTGCACCATGCCCTTGCAGGACAGCACTAGCTTTCCCTTCAGGCATTTCAATACTGTGCAGTTAGGGATGAAGAGGCACTTCCATGTGACCTTGTGTGAGAGCCCTAGCATCTGAGAACTACTAGTGGTAGAATTTCAGCATTTCAGCAAAAATGTGACTTACTTTACATTACTGCCTATAGCAATCTTGTATCAGCTATATTCTCACTGTAGTAATTTTTCTGGTTACCGATAAGAGAAAAAGTTTTAAGAAAAGAAAATCTTGAGCAATATTACTGGCAATAAAGTTGATTCATTGCAAACAATTAACATGTGCAATAGGAAAAAGGTATTATTTGGATGATGATTCATTTTTTCAGTCCAAGCTCTGTGTCAAGCATTTTTAAACTTTTCAAAATTATTTTTTTTCAAAAGTAGATTTTATCCCTTACTCTCTAGGTCAGCTCTCAGAAAGCTGCAGGTATAATTATTTAAATTTTAAAAAATGTTTTTAACTTTAGTAGGATACTTACATTATTAAAAGTGTTTTCCATGTTAGACTGATGTAGTATTTCCCTGTGCATTTTAAACGGAATTCAGCTTTGTGAGTGTTTTTTTGATATACATTTTTTTCTGGAACCTGTTAGCTTTATATAGCAAATTCATCTGAAAAGTAATCTAAGCCTTAGTGCTAAGAACCAGTTTAAATTTTACAAGTTTTCAAGTTTTTGCTGGAGTAGGAGAGTACATATTGGAAACAGGGAAACAGAATTATATTTTATGTTACCATGACAGAAGAAGCTACAGAAACATACTGGTTCCCTCTTACTCTACTAGAAGATGGCTCAGATAAAAAATGCTAATGTTCTATTGTGTTACAATAAAAAATTATCATAGATGCTTTATTATCAAAAATAATAGGTAAGGTGTCTCTATACAACTTGACTGTAGTTTGCAGGTTAATTTTTTTCTTTTAATATACACATCTGAGATTTTATTTTGAAGTGTGTTTATCCCCCACTTAAGTCTATCATTTTTGCTTGGTCAAGCTTTCTGCTTGCTTTTGGATTTTTTTGCCCCAAAATCACTGCACAATAGAGTTGTATGAGACCACAGGAAAACCTAGATGTTTGTAAGACTCCATGAGAGCAAGCCAATATGCTCAGCATAAGCTGATGGAAGACAAATTTTTCAGTCATTGTGAAGTAAAGAAATGGAAAAGTTTGCTGCTTTTCAAAATGTCTTTATTGCCACCAAAGCATTTGTATTCTGATAATAACTTAAGACTTTGCGAAAAATTAACCAACAACCCCTGGAAACAACTGGGGGGGAGGGGGAAAGAAGAATAAACATACCAAGTCCAGTAAACAAAAAAAATAATTGCCTTTCATCCATGTTGCAAATGGAGTGATGCTCTTCACTTTAATGAGGGAAGCATCAGTATACTCTATTGATATAAAAGAGTGAATTGCCAAAATTCATTGGTAAATGCGATGGTGATCTCACAAGATTTAATGTCAAAGTACACTTGACTATTTACATTATAGAGGGCAGAGACAGATAAAACCGCCAGGGAGACCGTCCTGTTGGGTCATCAGGTTCAGAAAGGACCCGCTTGCTTTCTAAACTCCTCTCAAAGAGAACTCTAGGTGCAGCCGGATCTAATTCTAGTCCCAGACTTGGTCAATGTTTATGTCTAAAGGATTATATGTACACAGTCAATCCTTTGTATCACTTAGATAAGATGTCAAAGTTCAGCATGCTGTTGTTCACTTACTGAGAATGTACTGTGGCAAGGAATCTCTCAGCCTCAAGGAGTAACCTTGAGAGGTGTCCCTTCTCAGGGAGAGAAGGGAGTACACTTGCTGTCCTGGTAGGGAGACAGTAACATAAGTTTTCAGTTAGGCGTTTTTTGCATCAGTTCTCAGATTATCACATTTCCCAGAATGTTTGAAAGGAATTTCCATCCTGGGGCATTTATAGGTAGTTTGTTTTAAGTTTGATGGGGTAGGCTGGCAAAGTGTAAACTTATTAGATAGAGTGATTTGTTTTAAGGTTTATTTGGTGCTATGGTTCACATTTTCTTAAAGTCTAGATTTACATTTTTTTATATGTAAATAACAGCATAGCAGCAATACCTTTACCCTCCAAAGTACATTAGTTTGTCTGCAGTGTTTGGCAGTTTTCTCTGATTTTTAACAGATTTTTTTTTTTTTTTTCAAAGGTAGCTTGCAAGTTGGCAAGTAAAAAAAGCAAGTACAAAGTATAGATTCAAGAGAAACTTAAAAATGTGTAGGCAATGTCATTTGCAATTTACATTTGAACACTGACAAGTAGTAAATTCTTAAAGGATTAAGGGATAAAAACTTAATTGATTCACCCCTGTCATGAATATTCAGGACTTTCTTTTTCCTTAGTCTCTATATTAATATGCTAAAATTATGAAAGATGTAGGCCACCTTATATAGTGACAAGTCACCAGTCTCCGTCTTCTCAAAATAAATCTCCTTTGAATGGCAAATGATAGTTACTCTTGAACACTATTACACTTACATCTCTGCCTCAAAATTTCTGTCATGGTTCTACAAGCTTTCATGTGTTTTCATCATGAGTTTCAACTCTGATATTATAACATACATCTTTGATTCAAAGATACCTTTAAGATAACCAATTGTTAACTGTAATAAACTGGCACTATGTAAGGATGGTAATATAACTTTTTTTTAAGCAAATAGTGGTGGGGTTACGTTCTTAACTACTTGTGCTATCTATTGCACAAGCCAGCAGTATCTTTGGATTGAATCATAGGCATAAAGTTAGAGGAACTGTTGTTTGAAGTGACGTGATTTATGTGATTAGATAAGCTAGGAAAGGTATGGGAGCTACTGTTTAAGAATGAAAAAAGATTGTGTTTGCTTCCTCCCATTATTCAAGTGTTGCAGAATTCTATTTCATAGGAAGTATGAAAAGAATACTTAGAAATATTTGTGGATTATTTCACATGAAAAGAATTATAACACTTTTGATACTCAATTAGCATCATACTTTAAAAAAAACCTACTTGCATCTACTTGGCTTTTTTTTGTTTTTAGGCTAAGAGCAACAAAATTAATCTGTAATACATAAAGTATGCTTAGTGTAGGAAAAATAGTCTAGCTAACAGGTCAAATGAAAAATCACCATGGAAGAAGTGACTTTGGGGCTTACTAATGCGTGTTTCCCACAGCACTAGGTGTATCTGACTTTCATGCTTTCTGCATGAAATATGACAATTATAGATGAATATGAATAGTTTCTGTCTCAAAAAAAAAAAAGAAAAAAGAAAAAAGAAAGGGTCCTGTGGGCTTACAGATAAAGCTATATGGTAGGAAATGGAAGTTATAGTGGAGTGTTCATGAGGAAATGGTCTTGGATAGCAAAGGAGAATGGGCATAGAGGGGAACACAAAGATTATAAGTACTTGAATGGAGTTAAGTATTGATGGAAGAACTACATCCAAAAGATAGACTGGAAATCATTGGAGACAAGATGAAACATTTTCTAGGAGTTGTCTTGCTTCCATCAAGCTGCTAAAATTGCTAAGCCTTCATACATCTGCACAGATCTAGTAGCAGACCTCGAAAAGTTTTTAGTACATGACTAGATATTTCTAAGGCTTTTTTCTTCCTTCTGTGAGAAACAACATAGTGCTAAGAATTGTGCTGACAAGAGGACCACTTTCCAAATTTTGAACAAAATAGTTTTATTCTGGTGACTGGTAACTGAATGGGTCACATATTCTTGGTCTCTGCCATTATACTTCCACAAATTTCGCCTGTTGCATTGTGGTTTTAATTTCAGACCACATTACAAAGCATTGATTCAGTATATTTTCAGACTTCACACTGCATTATAAAGTTATTTTCCAGCACAAAATATTTAGTACAAAACCAGCAAAGAGAGCTTTATTTAATGGGTTGTACAAGGCATTTAATAGGTTTTGCAAAGCATGTAGCTACTGAATCTGGAATTACTATCAAATATATATTTCTTGGTCTTTCAGGGTACTTACGTAATTTTAATAAGAAGTGGTTTTTTAGTTATTCAGTCTCTTTCCAGAAACTTTTCAGAGGTTAAAGATTAAAGAAAAAATGCTGGAGGCAAAATTATACAAAGGTCCTTTTGTAGCCCAGAAAAATAAAAGCTTGATTTAAGCACCACTTGAAAAAGTTTCAGAACTTGATTTTTTTTTTTTTTAATATACAGCTTTATTTGAAATAGGTTGATATTTAGCCAGCCAGAACTGAATGCAGCAGGAACTCCTGACAGTCTCCTTGGCCTTCTGTAGGAAAGGCCAGAGCACTGTGGTCCCCGAAGTCACAGACAGCCATTGTACCACTCTTTCTTCCACTTAGGATGTCAGTGGAAAAATCTCTTTTTCAGAAGACAAGGCTGTGTAATTCTGCAATGACATTATCACTTACAGATTTGCTGGTCCAGCAAAAAAATCCACATTTGAGCCATGATTTCACAAATAACATTTTTATAGATATGTTTTTACAAGCAGAACATGTTTAATCTTCCTTGCTGCTGGCCAGATGCAGTTCAGCCCTGACCCAAGTCTGTGGTGTTGTGTTGATGAAGGTAAAAGATCCAGCTTTTAGGAGGTTTTATTTCCCAAGGCCCAGTGCTATGCTTACTGA